GGTCATCATTTGCACGTTTCACAGTACATTCCATTACCCTTAGGCATTTAAAGTGCTCACTGTGTAAACCAGATTTAGGATGCCAACTAAAACAAAGTGCATGACGATAATCCAGATGTACATAAAGTCCCCTGGGATTCCAACCAAACACATGAGCTAAAGGATTCAGTTCCATATCTGCATTATCCCAGCAGGCACCTTGATGTCAAAAAGACATCAAAAATACGTCAAAAAACAAATCAATTTGATGTCAAAAGCTTGACGTCTGTTTGCCATCCACACATTGACTCCCCTTTGATAACCAAACTACATATTTATTCATCTGAAATCTTTGATTATTAATTTACACAGTAACTTTACAACGCACCAAAACGACATTATATTGACATCTAACATCGTCGTCAAAAAACAAATTAAGTAAAAATCTATTTCAGGACAGGACAGTTGGCATGTTATTAGACACCGATAGATGTCAATTAAATGTCACTTTGGCATCAAGGTAATCAACTGACATCAAATTGATTTACAATATTTTGACGTGTTTTTGATGTCACGTTCAGGAGCCCACTGGAATGTCTGATTTCTTTTCATGTCGTCATATTCTTTACATGGTCTTTACAAGTATTTACAATGAAATGTGCATGAAAAACAAGGTTTTATACGCAGACCTGGTGTGCATTATTAGCATTGCTGGGGCAAGTACATGTGTCAAGCCGGCCTGAAGGATGGCAGGTATCTGACACTTTTCAGAGAGCGCAGACTTCTCATGCATGTAAAATGCAAGATGCTCTGCAGTTTTTTCCTGTGGTGCAGCTTGCGGTGCCTGATGCTATCAGCAGAGTGACTCATATGCCTGCTGAATGGGCTTTATAGAGATTGGACGCATAGATTCGGTTATAATGGATCCGAATACAGTCTAAACTTCATTCGAGATAGATGGATGGATGAGGCATTGTCCTGAATTTTGAAAACTACCAAGCTACTAATCAGTAGAGGGATTTTTTTTCGTCTTAAAAGACTGTAAAAACCATGCAGAGCTAAAACACTGTCACTAGTAGGGTTGTGGTAAATTATAGCATCATTTCTTTTAGGGGATGAATGTGTTGGTAGGGCATCCAGGGAATCATATACATCAATCAGAGGCAATGGGCTGCGTCGTAGTATTATCTGAGAAGTAAATTGTACATATATATGACTGATGGTATTGTTTTCTGTTCTATTGCAATGCAAGTCACAGTATATTGTATATTTGAGGGTTACAGCATTGGTACTAGAGGGAAGGGTGTATATAATAAAGTTCTACATATGTGTAAATGTATTTTCATTTTCTTTATTCATCTGATTTGTTTAGTGTATTTAAACAGACAAAATTAAATTAATATAATTTTTTTTTCTAGTAATAATTTGGCAAGTAAAACTCTAAAAACGTAATATGCATAATTAAATAAACACAAAAATCCTTAGATAAATAAATACAAATAAGAAGGAACTTTGTGGAACTTTGTAGATTACATAGAAATAAAATTGTACTCATTATTTACTCACCATCCAGTGGTTTAAATTCTTTATGGGTTTTTTTTTCTTCTGTTGAACTCAAAATATGGTATTTTGAGGAGCTGAAAACCTTTAACCATTGACTTCAGTGGATTTAGGTATGGGTAATATCTTCCTTGACACAGGGAGATAATCCAAAAAAATTGCCCAAGTAAAAATTAGCTGAGCCTGTGCGCCAGTAACAGCTTTGAGATGCGATTTACTTTGTGCAAGTGTATTAATTTAGAGTAATCCCAGAAAAAAGATGTTAGGAGCCATCACATTTGGTATCTTTTGCACGCCCAAACTTGTTATTCTCCATATATATGCAATCGAAACAACACTTGTTAAAGCAAATTGGCGCATGCATACAAAAACAATTTACTACACACTTTACACGTGCTGCTCCTGCTTTCGGTGTGAATCTGGATTGTTTACATGAACACCGATAAAATAAACGTCACTTATGCACTGTGAAAACGGAGTAACAGCCTTTTATGCAGAGATGTTGGCACACAGCGAGCTTTGCAAGTCAACAAAACTAAAGTTCATATAAGATGATGATGATCTTATTTTAACTATGGAGCAGAAACAAAAATTCTCAACAGCTAATTCATTAATTAAGGAGCATACACATAGGATGGTTCGCCCAGGGTGTGATTTAAACTACAACTGCCACTGATTGACTTCCATAGTAGAAAAACAAACATAATAGAATGTCAATGTAGCAGGTTTCCAGCTTTCCTCAGTATATTTCCATTTGTGTTAACAGAAACTCATACAAGTAAAGGGTGAGTAAATGATGACAGAATAACATTTTTTGGGTGAACTATCCCTTTAAATGAAAGCTCTTCAGTGCATCTGCTTTAAAAAAAAAATCTATAATTTTACTCAGATGAAGTTTCTACACTTCATATCTAAATTGAGACAGGTGCAAAAAACTCGATCAATTGCATTTTCTTATTTTTAACTTACTTAAGTAATACAAATTTCACATAGTCAAGTGAAATAAAACAGATTTTGCCATATCAGTAAAACACTGGTTACTGATATGCTATTGTGTAAAGTTTTCTTCTTCATAATGTACATCTGATGTACCCTGTTCAAAAATGACCTTTATACATACGATAGTAAGAAAACCAGCACAACATGGAGAAAATAATGTTGTTGGTCTAAACATAAGGCTGTAATTCACAACCAGAAACAATAAAATGTGCTCTAATCACACATTCTTTGTCAAAGGCAATCAGCTGGTTTAATAAAAATAAAATGCACACAAGTCAAGGCCTTTCGAAACCAGGGGTTTCTTCAGTCAAAGGGTAATTTCCAATGTGATTGCATTTTCATTCAGAAACTGGAATAGATTTGTGATATATTGAAGGGCCATTTAAAGACCAAAAAAACTCTGATATTATGATGGAAACAATAATGGTTCATTCTAAATTCTCTCAATGTCTAACGTGTGACATTTTAATTCATATCTTATCTTCTCTTTGCTCATATTTGGCTTCACCAATATGGTGAGAAGACTTGATTATTTTAGGAAAGTGTTAGTTTGTTACTGCCAAAATGCAACTTCTGCAAATGCACATTCAAATCCCGATTGACTATGACAGCTACATTTGCTATTATCTCAATTATTCTTGCTGAAAATACGAGCATTTCATCTTGAGGAATTTAAAACATCTCAAATGGAGATTCTGGCTCACATCAAACTAATAGCGAGGCCAGAATAGTCTCAATGTGGAGCATCTGATCACCAGAGATTATGGTGATGTTGTGTACTTGTTGTTTTACATAGGCACGTGAGCATTTGCCTGAAATATGAAGCGCCTGTAAGCATTTCGATTTTAGAACCGCCTTTAAGTCTCTAATAGCAATCATTTTAAAACCCACCATAAATGTTTGTTTTATCTTGCAAATGTTTAATAAAATGATTGTCTTGTTGTCTTAGGTTGCCATTATTAAATGGTTTGTTCACCCCCAAATTACAATGCTGTCATTATTCACTAATCCTCATTCCAAAAACAAATGAATGTTATTAGATGTTTCTGTCCTTCCACTAAACGTCTGCTTACCCAAAAACCCAAAGATAAAGTTTAAACCAAGTATTCTGAAGGGACAGAATTGGAAAGCAGATTTATTTTTGGCTATTGTTTATGAATCTAATGGTGAACATAAACAGAAGCACAGAGCCAAAAACCTCATTGGTTGATGCAGACCAATCATGCTTTTGATTAAGGCTAAAGCGGTTGAGTCTCTTCATAAGACCTAATTCACTTAATGCATTTGAATTTATTCTTTGCTCTCTTCACGAGTTTTGCGTGAACCGACTTTAAAGGGGGGACATGAATCTTTTGAACTGAACTGAAATTATAAATTGCATTCTGAAGTTGAACACATTTCTTACAGATTTGGAACAATATTATGGTGAGAAACTAATGACAGCACAAAAATGTAAAAAATAATCATCAAAATGTTCTGAGAATAACAAATAAAAGTGTATTCTACTCTAGCTGAAACAAATTATTAAAGGGTGGTTTGACTATACTCTTTATAATCTCATACTGACAAAAATACATAAAATAAAGGACTTTTTTTACTGCATATGCAGCATTACATGATTGGATGATATTTTATCAGCACTATAAAACTTGACTGCACTTTAGCAATGAGCTGCAGTCACTCGAAAAAATTTGCATCATCATCATTAAAAATGGATGATTAACATTAGGTGAAATGGAGACCAGCTAGTAAGAGCTGTGCAAGTAAACCATTTTCTTATCCTGGTTATGGCACCAATGAAACCAGTTCTACTCACCCTGCTAACAGTGGGATTTGACCCATTTGATTCTAAGAGGGGATACAGGTACACTAAAAAGGTCTCTAACATCAGTCACTAGTGGACAGAATGATATAGTTTACTGCCACAGATGTTACTAGCTGATCTTCATTAAACTCACCTCATTAAGGCCGTACTCACACTATATACACTATGAACCGGGCCAAAGCACGCTTGTTCCCCCTCTCGTCTCTCCTGACAGCCCGCACTCACATTATATTCGGGCCTGGGCACGCTTACGTCATTGATGCTGCGCTGTTTAATAAGCGCTCTCACTCAGCACAGTGGAGATTTCTTTAGTTATATTGTTTAAGTCGTTTGGGATGCAGTGACACAGTCAGATATTTCGCCGAACAGATCCGCCACTTTTGACGCTCATAAACATTCATAAAGTCCTTGTGCTGCAGGTATTAGGAGGTTTGCTGAAGGCGCAGATCTGGTGCAGTGAGGAGTTTGCGTTTGTAATAATCTACGACAGTTTGCGTTCATTGAATGGTAAGAATGATTAATAAATCCATATAAAAAACAAGCCCTTAAAAGTCACGTCTTGCTTTCAGTTTCGGGCTTGGGCGCGTTTTACACTCACACACAAACGTACCGCGCCAAAGCCCAAGTGAACCCCGATTCAGCGCACTCACACTTCTCAAACAATCCGGGAAAAGCACCTGGGCACGGTTCAGATAGCATAGTGAGAGTACGCCATAAACCTCACATCTAAGGGCTCCAATATAACTCCACCAGAGACTCCAGCATAGGAGGTGGATGAACTGCTCCTGGAGCCCATATTTATACTGGTTCCTCTTGGGACATCCGTTCTTTCAATTAACAAGTTGTGATTACGATGCCAGTTGTGTTCAAGTCACTTTTAACAGTACCTTAATTTGATCAATTAAAGGGTTATGTAACTCTGCTTATAAAAAATGAAAAGCAAATTAAACTAAACCAAACTGTAAAGTTACTGTAAAATAAAAAAATACTGTCAACAACAGACGCTGCATTCATTAATTCTGTCATGTTTTACATTGACAAGGCCACAATTTTAGGGTTAAAGTCTGCATGAAGCTGAAGTTGCTAAGACTTTCAGTACAGTCTGTTGATGTACTTTCAACTGAAATGGTATATTGAGTAGGGGACGGAACTTTCTTTTTGCACATCATCTCTTGTAGCAAACTAATGGTAAAAGGGGCATGGTTACGAATATTGTGTCTGAAGCCATCAAACTAATGCAAATGGTCAGACTTTTATTGAAGGTCACCAAAACTTTTATTTTTTTGTGAATTAATTTGCATGGATGGGCAATTTTTGAGCAATGTCCTGCAGAGGTGCACCATTATCAAATGCATCTGAAAAAACCTGAATCAAAACCTTGCAGGACAGGAGCCCTCCAGGAACAGGATTGGTAATTTGCTCTTGTATCAGTAGCTAGTGTGCTTCTTAAAGGATCATGGAACCCTTAACTACATTTTCCTTGATTCTAAGGGTGCTTTCACACCTGTGTATTGATTCTTTTGTTCCGAAAAAGGGATTAAAATTGTTACAATGTTGCACTTTGTTCTTGGTACGGTTCGCTTTCACATGGCAATGTTTCTAAACGGACTAAAAGAACTAAAACAAGTCACGTGCGAGCAAACTCTGCCCACATTGGAGTTTCACGGTTTATTTTGCAGAGTATTATTTTAATTTATGACGATGTGCAATTAGACATTATAAGTGAAAAGCTGCACTTTAATTTTGAATAGTGACACCCATCATAACCAAATATAAATCAGAGGTAAGACTTTATATAGCAGTTGGCTTATGCATTATTGACTTTACATTAGAGAGAGAAATAACAGATAAACCATGACTGCTGTTTGGTAAATTTTCCTAATAAACAAAATAGCTCTCGTTAATAGTTCACCATGCTTTCACTTTTGTATTTTTCATGAAACGCACATTTACCGGTGGGAATGACACCCCGCCCTTCTCATAATTCTCTCTTCATATAGCCACATATGGCTATTACATAACCATAATACACTGTGATATAGCCTGGTTCAGATCAGTTTGCTGTCTCACTACAATTGATCCACTCCAGAGTTTGTTTCAATCGAGCCGAGACCCCCTCGTTCAGGCGATCTCGAACCGATTGTTTTGGCGTGGTTCCGAGCAAGATTGCTAGATTCACAAAAGCCAAATGAACCATGGCAACTGGGGAAATGCTCCAGGTTCCAAAACAAAAGTCTAGGTGTGAAAGCACCCTAACATACTTATCTGTGAACATCAATTAACACAATGTTAGCATTTCTTAGCTTTGATTTTTAGAAAACTTTTCCCCACAACTTTCTCATTCGATTTTAAATCTAACAGGCAGCGTCACTGAGTTTTCTTATTTTATGAGAAAACACTGCTTCTGAATTATTTGGTCAAGCTGCAAGACCGTGCAGTGTTTAGGCGTTCAAAAAGGGTCACGGTGATGATAGTGTTGACACAAGTGCCAACTTCTACGAGTCTGTACTGAAATGTTTAAAATGTGACAATAACAGAATTACTGAATGCCACTGATTGGCCGTTGTGTTCACATGGTCAACAGGTCTGACTGTGATTGGTGCTAATAATCACCAGTTTACAACAGGACTTACACAGACAGTGAAACTCTTGAAAGCTACATCTATCAGATGATCCATCAGCGGACTTGCACAGTATTCAAATGCTGACAGACACAACATTCAAACACTCCACTGCTCAAGGACACTTCTGTCCCTTCAGAGTAGGTATGTATGTGTCTAAATTTTAAAATAAGCCCTCTCAGTGAGTATGGGCCACTGAGATTACAGTTGCTTGCTGTCTTCTTTCTCTCCTGATTTGCTCCATCATACCCACTCCCCTACCTTCTGCTCACTGCTTTCTACACTCATTTAAGTTGCATTTATCAACAAAAAAAAATCCTGAGGTAGATTTTAATCAAAAGATGGGGGTTTCATGACCCTTTAACTCCAGGGGAGTGAGGTATCACATCAGCCGGACGCATGAGCACACTGACAAGAACACTACAGATCAGAGCATAGTGCTAGTGTGCCTTTAGAGATCAGAGGAGTTTAAAACTCACAGCGCCAATGTAACCTCACTGCTCGGCTCAAGCTTCTCTGAGGGGGAATCAAACGGATGATTCCTGGAATGGGACGAGGAGACACTAGCTAGCACACTAAAGACTCTAGCCTAATGCTAGTGCTCCTCTAGAGAGCAGGGGAGTGAAATTAGCTCTTATAAGTGCTGTCTGAACACTTCTCAGATGTGAGAGATGATGGTGATGCTCTGTAATAAGAACAGACAAGGCAATATGAATGGGCCAGCGCTTGTTAAGGCCAGAGACTGACAGTGAAGGATGAAATCTGAGATGTGAAGTCCTTGTTATCGGAAATAAGCGTGAAATGTCAAATATCACCATCTCCGGCTCCTTTCCTTTGTCTCTATCTCGCCAGATTATCTCGCCATGTTCTGCTTTTGCTTCTTATAAGCAAGTCTACATGACACTGCATTTCCCCTTCAGCTTGTCAGCCCTGCTTTGCTTCCCAGAACGCTTGCCATCGATGTTCAAACTCATGCTCCTCTTCTTCTCCAAGTTGAGCAGCTCCTGGAAGAGCTCAGTGACATTGTGATTAGTCTTAGCCGAGGTCTCCATGAAAGCACACTTCCAGGTCTTAGACTGGGCTTCTCCATCTTCGGTCTTCACTTCCCGTTGTGTTTCGTCACTCTTGTTCCCCACCAGCATGATAGGAATGTTCTCTACGTTGCCTTTGATAGCGAGTATCTGCTGGTATATGGGCTTCAATTCTTCCAGGGACTGTTTGCTGGTGATGGAGTAGACCAGGATGAAGGCGTGACCCTTGGAGATGGACAGACGCTGCATGGCAGGGAACTGGTGGCTCCCGGTGGTGTCTGTGATCTGCAGGGTGCAGACGCTCTTGTCACAGCTGATCACCTGCCGGTAAGTGTCTTCCACCGTCGGGATGTAGGTGTCCCTGAAGGTTCCTTTCACAAAACGGAGCACTAGCGAGCTCTTGCCCACACCTCCTGCTCCAAACACCACCACACGATAGTCGTTGCTCTGCTCAGGCATCTTGGGCCTTTGATTGAGCCACTGACGTTCTAGACCTAGTAGAGAGAAAACAAATGGTTAGAAAATTCGATGTGAGTTTTATACAGTTTTTAATGACAAGAACTGACAAATAACATGCCATTTATCATTAAAAAAAATGAAGCAGCTATTTATTTTAAAGAATAGTTTAACAAAACAATAACAAAAAACTGCTCTTTTTTTTTTTGCCTCTTTTCCATGGGAAAAAAAAATTATTGCATCATCATTCTGAATGTTCAGAACATCTTAATATCTGAAAAAAGTTAAGTATTACAGGCTTGTAATGATATTGGGGTACTTTTTTGGGGTGAACTATCCCATTAATATGAAATATATATTGTTAAAAAAATGAATAAATTAATTGCGACACAATAAACAAATATTACTAATAGTATTATATTATCAAAACAAATTCTTTAAATATTAACAGAAAATGTTAGTAAAAAATATTTGCATTTATTGAATATAATATTGCGATGCAGTGGTGATTTAGGTAGTGCTGTCGCCTAACAGCAAGAAGGTTGCTGGTTCGGGACTCGACTGGGTCAGTTGGCGTTTCTGTGTGTAGTTTGCATGTTCTCCCCGCGTTCGCGTAGGTTTCCTCTGGGAGCTCCGGTTTCCCCTACAGTCCAAAGACGTGCGGTACAGGTGAATTGGATAGGCTTAATTTTTCATAGTGTATGAGTGTGAATGAATGTGTATGTATGTTTCCCAAAGATGGCATGCAGCTGGAAAGGCATCCGCAGCGTAATACATATGCTGGATAAGTTGGCAGTTCGTTCCGCTGTGGCGACCCCAGATTAATAAAGGGACTAATCCGAGAAGAAAATAATTGAATGAATGAATATAATATTTTAAATATATTGAAAACTTCACACATTTAAAGACTTTTTGCCTGGATTGGAAAAAAATTGACTTGTGACTATCACACATCACACATCTTCAAGCCATAGCATGAATCCATAACACTTTAAACATTTAACATGATCATAATTTATTTACAGGCTATTTATCTTTCCTAATTCTAAATTACTGATATGAAACACAAGCACCGTTTTGCCTGTAGCACTTAAGTGGCTTTTCTGAAGAAAGACGCATGAGCCTTGTCATCCATCATGCTATTATGAAATCACAATGCAACTCATCATAATGTATCTGTGCTCTGCCCTTAGACACTCTCTTGCTTTCGCTGCAGTTTATAACAGTGCATTATTTATTGCCTCGGAGCCAAAACAATAATTCTAAACAGTTTTCTGCTCCTGAGCACTGCTCTTGTATCTGCCTGAAAGTAAAACCGGTTTTGGATTTTTTTTTTTTTTAAATAAGCTTTTATATGCGCAGTTTAATGTTCTTATGAATAATTTAACCTGCATCCATCAGTGTCAGAGAACCACGAACACACGACACACATCGAATTGTGTATAGATTATGCAGAAGCAAGCAAGAACACAATTTGCAGGCTTTACACCGATTTCACTCTCAGAAATCAATACCTCAATTTCACACTAGCACACGAGGGATGCTGAAAGACACCTCCAAGGGAACTAACATAGTTTTATCAGGATTTCTGCTAAGCTTTCATCAGAAAGTGCAGATTAACCTGAAACATATTTCTGTGAAACTACAGTTGAAGACAAAATGGCTATAAATGAAATCTTAAGCTGTGCTGGAGGAGAATAATTCTTTTTCAACTATCATTTATACTCTATTACCAGAACCTTAATGTCATTTTTAAACAACTGATCAAATTGCATACTTTTCATAATCACTTTTTTGTATATAATACATATAAACCAAAGCTCTTTATTACTGAATACAATAAATTTAAGTGCCAGATAAAATGTTTGCTTGCTTATTCATTTTCTGCAGCTCATCAAAAATCCTGCTGCCATGATTCTGACCAGAACCAGAAAATCAGAGCATACCTGTCATCAGATCTTTACACTGGCTCTCAGTTACATTCAGAATGGATTTTAAAGTATCAAAGTAACTCTTTAGTTAAAGCACCTGTATACTCCATAAACCATAAATAAATGAGTGTCACAGCAAAGGGTCTGAATACTTAGGACCGTGTGATATTTCAGTTTTTCTTATTTAATAAATCTGCAAAAATGTCAACACTTATGTGTTTTTCTGTCAACATGAGGTGCTGTGTGTACATTAATAAGGAAAAAATTAACCTAAATAATTGAGTTCTTAAATGATTAAGAACGTAAATGATATTAGCAAATGGCTGCAATGTAACAACGAGTGAAACATTTAAGGGGGTCTGAATACTTACTGTACTCACTGTATTGACGGTTTTGAGAATTGCAATTCTAAATGGAATTTCTTATTAGGCAGTAATTGTTGGTGAAATATTAGATTATGCAAAAATTTTAAATGAATTTCTGATTATGCCGAAGTGATTGGAAAAAATCTTTGAGTTCTCCCAAAGCCGACTGCCATCACAAATGCTTTATATTTTCATCCAGCATTCTGAATTCTTTAATGATATAAATACAATGTTCTGAAGGGCCTGTGCCACAATTATTAACAGTTTTGAGAATTGTAAGACTTTGTTGGAAATCTCAGTGTAATTTCAGATTATGCAGTAATTCAAGTCAAAACTCTTAGTGGATTTTTAGATTATGCAGTAATTCCCAGTGTAATTTCAGATTATGCAGGAATTCAAAGCAGAAATCCTAGTGGGATTTTATATTATGCAGGAACTTTGGACATGTTGGCTCAGTGGTTAGCACTGTCACTTCGCAACAAGAAGGTCACTGGTTCGAGTCCTGGCTGGGCTAGTTGCCATTTCTGTGTGGAGTTTGAATGTTCTCCCGGTGTTCGCGTGGGTTTCCTTCGGGTGCTCCAGTTTCCCCCACAGAAAAAAGACATGTGCTACAGGTGAAATGAAGAAACTAAATTGGTCGTAGTGTATGAGTGCAAGAGTCTATGTGTGTTTCCCAGTAATGGGTTGCAGCCGGAACGGCATGCACTGCACAAAACATATGCTGAAATAGTTGGTTCATTCCGCTGTGGAGACCCCTGATAAATAAGGGACTAAGCTGAAGGAAATGAATGAATGAATGTGGATTTTTAGATTATGCAGGAATTCTCAGTGTAATTTTAGAGTATGTATTTTTAAATTATGCTGGAATTGTTAGTGAAATATGCCATAATTTAAAGTGGAATTTCAGATTATGCCAAAAGGATTGAGAAAAAATCCTTGTGAATTCTTCCAAAGCTGACAGCCCTCAGCTCCATGTTTTCCCTCAGCATTATGCCAGCATGCTGCTTGCACTCAGGGCTTAAAGCGCAGCGACACGCTTGGCAGGGTGCAGCGATCCTGACAGCAGTCAAGCTCTCATCTGAGAGAAGCCCCGGTGTCTCTCGCTCTCTCTCTCACACCCCGCATGCTGTCAAATCAATGAGCAGAGGACACTGAGCCTTTGATCAATGCCAGTGTCTGCGGATTTCAGGCTTCTGACAGCCCGGTGCCCCCCTCTTGCCCCTCTTAAGGTGTCATGCTTGTTTCTGCGCTGTGATTGATGTCAGTCTCCCTCAGAGTGCTGTGTTATCTATTCTATAAGTCCCTGGCGAAAGGGCCGGAGAAGCGCCGAGCTTATTAATGCCGTTACAGCGTCTCGCTACTCCAGCCAAACTCTATTATAGATTAAGTTTGGCACGAGGAGAGATTATAATGCATGTCCCTCGCTCAAGGTATCCCAGGCGCGCTCACTGCAATGTGCTGATGCCGCCGCATTTGGGAATGACCTTGCTTTTTACTGAAGCGAATGTGGAATATATCACTCAGACATTAGGATTGGGAAGGTAATGTTTGCTGAATAGCGCATGGGCACCGCGCCACATGCTCTTAAACAATCACAGTAAATGGAAGTGTGGGCTCAGGATGCCTGGTGGTTGTGTTTGCTAATCAAACACCACAGTGCTACGCATAGAGAAAAGAATAGCATGTACACAAATGACCCTATTTTTCTTTCTGCTGTTATTGTGAGCGAACCGTTGGAGCATGTTATTTCAAGGAAACTCAAAGTTATTTGCGGTTTTTGCAGCAGAGTGTAATAACTGTTCAATTGAATTACTTTCTGATGATGTTTGAGAACATGATGTACAGTAGGTGCTGTTTTTGCAACTTGTATTTGAACAGTAAACAGTCTAGGTTTAGCTGGTTAGCATGGCATTAGACAAGACAATAATAAGTCTTAATTTATGCTGATTAATGCTTAATTAATTCCAAGTCCACAGAAAATTTGGCCCCTATCTAAAATCCCACCGTCAATTACACAAAGAATTCCTGCATAATCTAAACTTCCACATAGAATTCCTGCAACCTCTAAAATTTCACTTAGGATTCTACATGAACTTCTCACAAGCTCTACATTTTTACTTAGAATTGCACATAGAATTCCTGCAACCTCTAAAATGTCACTTAGAATCCCTGCATGATCTAAAATCCCACTTAGAAATGCACATAGAATTCCTGCAAACTCTAAAATTCTACATAGAATTCCTGCATCATCTAAAATACCACTTAGAAATTCACATAAAATTCCTGCAACCTTTAAAATTCCACATAAATTCCTGCATCATCTAAAATTCCATTTAGAAATCCACAAAGAATTCTTGCAACCTCTAAAATTTCACTTAGAATTCCACATATAAAAACTGCAGCCTTTAAAATCCCATTTAGAATTCCAAATAGAATTCCTGCATTATCTAAAATTTTACTTAGAAATCCACAAAGAATTCCTGCAACTTCTAAATCCCACTTAGAATTCCACATTGCATTCCTGCAACCTCTAAAATTAAACTTAGAATTCCTGCATCATCTAAAATCCCACTTAGAACTTAACATAGAAATACTGCAACCTCTAAATCCCACTTAGAATTCACAGTAGGAATTCCTGCAGCCTCTAAAATCCCATGTAGAATTCCAAATAAAATTCCTGCAACCTTTAAAATGCCACTTAGAATTCCACATAGAATTTCTGCAACCTCTAAAATCCAACTT